GCGTATCCCAGCCATCCTGAAAAGCTCTGTTTGGTTGGAATATTATTATAATATACTCTTCTAATTATTGAAGCTTCCCAAAGGACTAGATAGTGTTAGAAATGTAATAGTTCTAATACTAATGTCTTATGATAAGTATAATACATACTGCTTCAAAGTTAACCACACACAGAGATTTAGATAATTAATCTACTGATAGTAGAGAAACGAAAACGTGGAACGTTATCATATATGCAATATTCAAAAGTTTTTAAATAAAAAGATCGACTTTTCGCAGCTACAATTTACAGACATTTTAAAGACACAAGTTTCATGAAATTTCACAAAGTTTACTCACATGCTCACAAGAGTAAATTGTGTTACAAAAGGTTTTAAAATATGTGTGAAACCTAATTCATCACATGCACTGATAAATTCATAAACAGGAGACTACTGATTATATCCCGCAACATTAAAAAAATGGTAAATATATTTTCTTTTATTCTGAGTAACCTAGATAACCTACGCCAGTGTCATGTTTAGTATATTATTTTCCAATGAAATGACTGATTTTTTTTTACAACTGTTTCGGATGATATAGCATTCAAAGCAATGTTCCAAGAAAATTCCGAGAATTTTAATTAAAGTGACTTTTCACTGGATCATTTGTATTTTATTTCGAGGTTTGAATCCTGAAATAATAACAAATAAACTGTACAAACAGTTAAGAGTAATGTTACTTAGAAAATTAAGGGCGTACATTGAATAGCTTAAAGTATTTTGCCTGCTTAAGTTGTTTGTCAAAAGTGAGAGTATGGATATGTTATTGTGTCAAAACTTGTAAACGCGGATAAAATACATTTGTATATTATTTATCCAAATATGAAAACGATTCGCAAAGCATTTATCAGTTGTCCAGTAAAGAGAAAGATTTTTTGATAACGAATACTTTGACTAATTCCTTAGAGATATTTGAAACATATCATCCTTTATCTGTAATTGTGGTTGTGTTTTCATTTTATTTTATCACACTCGCTTCCTGATCTCTCCAAAAGAAGAACTCTTTTTTTATTACACATGTTAAGGATAAAATACCCTCAAGACCGGTTGATTACGAGTGTACATATATTTATTACTACGTATAACATTCTGAGCAAATATCCTTGTAATACAAACTATTCTTATGAATAGGGTCACCATCACTGTAATTTGTAATATTAAAAAAAAATGGGATGATTATCTCGGTAGCATATAGTACTTCCGAAAAAGAAGACAGATCAATGTTCTGTTGAAACATATAGTATGCCCCCCCCAAATCACTTTATTATGCTTATAAATCTTTTTTTGTTGTTTTTGTTTTTGCGAAGTTATCATTATATTAGCATAATTTGCTTCCTTATTCAAATATGATGTACGTAGGAGTGTTTATGGTCTATGGTAATGGTACAAGATTGAGTGCCTAAGCCTTAAAGCTCCTTTACATCATCGACGATATTCTGATGTTCCTAGTTATAGACTATTGTTCTGCAGCGTAATTTTCACTGTAGAAGGATTTTTGCTTAATACACAAAGGTCAATGTGTCCCTACTCCTCTTTTTTTCATGTTTTTCATAGTCCATCAACTGTACGCTGACGACGAGTCTCGAGAGTCTGTTTAGAAAACCCAAAAGCAAAGAAGTTCAAGAGAAATGTTTGTGAATGGGATAGCATGAATTCCTACTTGTACTTGCATCAAACCTGGAGCAACTAAAATGTTGACCCAGGTTTGTGTCTAGATACTTTGTTTTGATAGATCATACATTACGGGCATCTAGTTCGTGCAAGGATGATATTTCCTCACGGCATAATGGTGCTAATGCGTTAGTATGATACTGTCCTCTTTGCGTCTTTCCCAGTTATCCATACGTTTAACTTACATTATAGCTCTAACCTGCAACAAACGTAACTCCTCCGAAATACTTTTACGACAATTTTTGTGCCACTTTAAAAACGTCTTATCACTGGAGGAGCTTTAACATGCAACAAACGTAACTCCTTCGAAATACTTTCACGACAATTTTTGTGCCACTTTAAAAACGTCTTATCACTGGAGGAGCTCTAACCTGCAACAAACGTAACTCGTCCGAAATACTTTGACGACAATTTTTGTGCCACTTTAAAAACGTCTTATCACTGGAGGAGCTCTAATCTGCAACAAACGTAACTCGTCCGAAATACTTTCACGACAATTTTTGTGCCACTTTAAAAACGCTTATCACTGGAGGAACGACAATAAGCTGTCTGGTTTCTTGTAGACATATGCTTCATAAACAACGTCATTTTATTTGAGATTTAATTTTGGATAGGGGCGGGTAAAATTTTTAAGGTAGCTCTAGGACTTTTCTAAAGTGAAAATGCAATAACGATTGGGTCTTGCATCGGGTTGTACTATAACTTTACAGTACACACAGTAAAAGCGTAAAACTGGTACTTTGTACTCAGGTTTTTTTAATCTTCCTGTGTGTGTGTGAATGGGGTAATGTCCATCCTTTCACCTCACAAGTAGTGCTCCCGTGCTCTTCCAATGTGATCACATGTTACCATTTTTCACAGGTGATGACATATTTCCATTTTTCACATGCCAGGTGCATGAATAGGAGAAAATGCTTTAGAAATAGCATTATCTCCGACAAATTGTGTAAAATTATTTTAGCTATACAGTGCATTGTTTAAAATCAATCACTAAACAGGAATTTCAAAGAAATTATACTAATGTTTATAAAAAAGGGTTTTAAATTAGAGTCATAAAAGCTGTATTATAAAAAACAGATAGGGTTTTGCAAGCTTTCGAACGAAGTTATTCGTTCACAGCTGCAGTGTCAACATCGTGAAAAAAAAACTAATTTACAAAACAAATAAATTACTCCAATATTTTACAACTAATTTTAATAAAAATTATTACAAGTGATTCCCATTCGTATTTAATGTTCTCAAAGATATAGTTATTTTCACAGCTTGCTTTAGTTTTATTTGTTCTATTGTTATGTTTATTTGTTTGTTTTAGCACAAAGCAACACAAGAAACTGGTTATGCTATGTCCACCATGGGGAATCGAATCCCGAGTTTTAGCGTTGTAAATCCGTGAACTTAACGCTGACTCACCGGGGAACCCGATATATCAAAATTATAATTATTTACCCCTTGAAACGACACTCTACGAGATCTATTCAATAAAATATACATGATCCTATTTACATTTCTGTAGAGATCAAGTTTCCGAATCAGCTGGAGACTTAACCTTTAACTCAGAAACCCTTGATTTTTCCACACTGCAAACTCTACTATAGAATGTGTGTTTTGAAATATTTATAGCAACTTTAGAGCCACAGTGGTGAAAAAAGTGGATTTCCATATACATGCTTATCTGGTGACATTCAACAAATACCAATATGTCTACCACAATTTTACAACTCACGTGTTATTCGCATCAACACCGCCGAATAATGTATTACACAGCACTTCTTAGTGGTTTAAAACAAAGGTGTTTGTTATCTTATTTAACGTCAACAGAACAAGTTGTGAACGAATAACTTTGTTCGAAAGCTTGCAAAAACCTATCTGTTTTTTATAATACAACTTTTTCACGCATATACATGACGATAATGTAAAACCCTTATATAACTTTAGAAACCTAAAATATCAAAAACCTAATGGATTAATTTTACTTTTTCATTGCATAAAAATAATTAAATTAAGTTCCTTAATACTTATGTTTCAAACAGTTAGTGAAAATTCTTGGATCATAAAATGTATAAAATACTATTGTTATCACATTTAGCAGGCCAAAGATGTTGGGGCATAAAATATTATATAATACATGAGGAGGAACATTGATGAATAAGGTATGGAAAATATATGTATGTAACTCACAAATATTATAGTTTGACGATATTTATTATGTTACAAAGGAAGATTGGCAAGGTCAGTGACCAAAGGCTAATGGAGTTATACAGGTCACTCTGAATGACGATTTTACAATTACGTTTGTGTCTGTCTTTTTTTTCTTTTCTTTAAAAGCATTTTTATCTTGACGAAGAGAATTTTTTCACTGATGATTTGTTGCAGCACTTGATGTGACAAATTCAAGGTGTGTACTAGTAGTGACCCCATAGTAGTGACCCCAAAGTGACCTCAAATAAAGTGAAATTCATTTCACATCTTATAAATTATGTTACAATAATTATATAAAGCGACGTACATGAAAACACTTATTAAATAGTGCAAATTCATTTCTTTATATCATAGTCATAGTGCTATATCATTATGCTCACATAGTACTACCGTATTTCAACCCTTCCTCAACTTGAATTGCTTAGATATTTCTATACAATGCTGCAAAATCCTCTATGAAAGTCTTTTTTCTGTTAAAAGTTGGTTTGAACGCTCAAACTGTGATTTTGTATTTTTGGTAAATAGATAGAAAGTTCCGGCGTTTTGTTTTTGTTTACAGTTTTCAGTAGATTTTCTTATAATGCTGCCAAAAAAAGTCAAGATATTAAAATATGATCATAACGTGTTCAAATAAATCTTGATATTCATTTTATTTCCATATCCTAATATCGTTTTTGCACGAAATGTAAGTTTCTACCATTTGGTTTCTGTTGATCCAACTGACCTGAAACTAGTGTTAAAACTCGATAACGAGGAACCCACTTTGAGACTAATAATGGTTGGAGACGGCTTGAATGGGTAATGAAGAAAAAAAACCTTGTCGAAACGTTGTACGTTTGCTGTTATGTTAAACTTATATTAAAGTTTTTCTTCGTTACCCATTCAAGCCGTTTCCAACCATTATTAGTGTTAAAACATTTTATTCTATACGTATTTCAATACGATACTATTTAAATATTAACTGATGCTACCAGTTTTCCTTTGTCGCTGTCATTGATAAATACACGTGAGATAAAATAATTTGAAGTAATGTTATATGACATTTAAAACAGCTAGGCTTAATGAGAACATTAAAACGTAAGAGAACTCACCGTGAAGACGAATAAACCCTTCTTTTTCACCAAACGAATTTTTGGCTCCACATTTGTAGGAACTGAAATCTTCTTTTTGAAGATTGCTTATTTTCAGTTTCATATCGACATTATAGGAATCGTACACTTCAGTAAGTTGATATTTTTTGCTCGCTAGTAGCAGGGTGTCTTCATTTCTCACCCAAGAGGTCATAGGACGTGGCCAGGCTTGAACCCTACATTCCAGTATTACGTCATTTCCTGGAGTGGCTCCAATAACTTGATTGGGCACCCGAATTTGGGGAGGAACTGAGTTATAAATATGGAAAATATTGTTCACACAAATTCTACTTGAGGAAATTTATTAATCCTGAAACCTTCTGCTCTCAATCATAAATACACGTCGTATAAAATAATTGAATGTGCGAAATCGTGTATTATCACACAAGATAGATTACATATTGCAAATTTCTATACGTTTAGAAAGTGACTTGATTTATGATGCAAATTTGATTCAAATCGTTTTACTTGAAAATAAATTAACAAATCAATTACTGTGATAATCATTGTAAATACATTAACACGTTGTTGTGCTATTGATATCGAACTGTGACTTATGTACAATATATACAATTTCTAGGCATTTCAAATTCAATGTAATTTCATTTTCTGGAGAATCATCCCGTGTAATACCTAAAATCATACTTAAGATACTGATGTAGGATCATAAAACGGGTAATATACATTTGTATTGATACATGATTCATGTGTAAACACCACACATTCTGTATAGATTATAGTTTCTCACTAACGGACGTTCATACACACACACAAAAAAAATGAAGGACACGATTATTGATGTTAAAATTCTAGTCAACATCTTTTTTTTCTTCCAAGAAAGCCCCCCAGTGACACAGCGGTATGTCTGCGGACTTACAACGCTAGAAACCGGGTTTCAATACCCGTGGTGGGCAGAGCACAGATAGCCCTTGTGTAGCTTTGTGCATAATTAAAAACAAACAAACAATCTTCCAAGAAACAGTTTTAGGAAGTGTTTGTTTGTTTGTTTTCAATTTCGCGCAAAGCTATACAAGGGCTATCTGCGCTAGCCGTCCCTAATTTAGCAATGTAAGACTAGAGGGAAGGCAGCTAATCATCACCACCCACCGCCAAGTCTAGGGCTACTCTTTTACCAACGAAAAGTGGAATTGACCGTCACATAATAACGCCCCCACGGCTGAAAGGGCGAGCATGTTTGGTGTGACGGGGATTCGAACCCACGATCCTCAGATTCCGAGTCGAGCGCCCTAACCACCTGGCCATGCCGGGGCTTTAGGAAGTGTGAATTGATATAGATGCTTAAAGACAAAAGATACACCATTACCGCTACAATATTCACTATTTACGAATTCCAATGTATTTACGCTCATTAAAAGTTCTTCCTTATGGAACATAACTCTTCAGTATCTATTTTACAGATGAAGCTTATAAAGAAGCTTTCTCTTAAGGTACAGTGGTAAGTCTCACAGCTTACAATGCTAAAATTTGAGTTTCGATACCCGCGGTGGGCAAAGCACAGATAGTCCCATGTGTAGTTTTGTACTTCATAACAAACAAAATGACCCCCCACAGTGGCACAGCGGCATGTCTGCAGACTTGCAACGCTAGAATCCGGGTTTCGATACCCGTGGTGGGCAGAACACAGATAACCCATTGTGTAGCTTTGTGGTTAATTACAAACAAACAAACAGACAAGTTTGTTCGTTTTCTTTTATCGGAAAATTCCCATTTTGAAAAGTATTTAATGATCACCTATTGAAAACTTTTACAGAACAGCTAACTTACTCACTTTAAACAGGTGGAAGTAATTCTAGAAAACATGTTTTGTAAGACTGTATAGCGTAGAAATTACAAATTTGGAGGCCCTGCACAAATAAAACTTAATGATAAAATGAATACGGAAGTAAAAAAAAAATTGTTGTTATTGAAATTGTTTGGGCTTTCTTTGCAGGACTTTAATTTGTTTTAGCGCAAAGCTAACAATAAGCTATCTGCGCTATGTCCACCACGGGGAATCAAGCCACAACTTTTATCGTTGGAACTTTGTAAACTTACCACTGATCAACTGGGGGGCTGTATATGTAGATTGGAAGTAAACTAAACTTTTAAGAAATCTAATCGATGTTATGATTCTAGTCTTATATAATTCTGTAATTATAAAATATGTTTTATCAAACTACTATTGTACATGAATTATTTTAAGAATGGTGTTTGCATTGAAATTGTTTTCGTCAGTGACCCTAGTTTTGACCAGCCTGTGATACGTTGTTAACGTGGTACTACTCTGAAGGAAAGTATTAACACATTAGAAGATTTTTTTGTTTATTATTAAGAGTAGTGAGGTAACAATCGTTCATAAGCACCGTATTCCAACCATAATTAAAAGCAATTAAAAATGTTTGAGGTCCGAAGTCACGGCAAGACGTGACTGTGGTCAATAGGTGTCGCACCAAATTAATATGGCTAAAGATTACATTCAGAACCTTTGTAATCTCAGGAGAAGTGCTAACATCAGTAAGAAAATTCAGCTAAAGCTTAAGCCTTGATTTTTTATAACGTATGCGCATAAACTGTTCTTACTGGGCAAGACGTATTAACAATGTTAGTAGGTTTGGACATGTACTTCAAAAAGGGTTTTACAGACTTCACAAAGGGATTCTCATAAAAAAAAGTCGAGTCTTCAGTACCAGGGTTGCATCTGGACTTCTTTGTAGAGTTCAAGACCAGAAAAATTAAACAATCTGGACATATCTCAAAAAAAGAAGATATTCCAAAGAAAAGATGGTCAAAGGATATTCCAAACAAAAGATGGCGAAGGAGAACATAGTTATAGACTAATGGTTAAACAGGTAAGTTAGGGGGCTCGGTGGAAAGACACGGCATTAGGTATTGTTTTGAGGAATGCCAAAAAGAGGACAAAGAACAGAATTCTGTTCCTCTTGCATTAACTTGGCCTATCTATTTCGACTGGTTTCTAGATAACCAAACACAGACATTCATATATATATATATATACACACACACAAAGAGAACTTGATGGCAATACTTACAGTTTACATCCAGCATAATACGTTTGCTTACTGAAGGAGGGATTCCATTCGAGGCAATGCACAAGTAAGCTCCCATATGTATCCTGATAACATGAGTTAAGTTCAAGAAGGTCCCTTTAACCTTGGCCGCTAAAGAAAGTATAAAACTCCTATATCAGTAACAAAAATAATGAACTAGATAACCAATTAGGCCTTAAGAAAGACATTAATACCTTTAATGATACGATGATACCCAAAATGTTAATATATCACTGCGCTGTAGTGAAAAAAAAATACAGTAAAATGAATACGGTGTAAAATAATTTATATTTGGAAATTTCAGGATTTTTGTAACTCTGTTAGAAATTTATAGGTTTTTAAACAGTGTATTCCGTTTTGGAGAAATGATAACAGCAAAACAAAGAGATATAGAGTGAGGATAAACCATTTTGAACATAAAAATTTGATTAGGCATGAAATAGTAGTCCATTTATAGTTGATAGAGTTATTTTAAAATTTGTAAAATATTTATAAGATTACGTAGACAATGTTTGTACAATGGATACCCTAGTAAAAAGTAGTTCCATAATATTTAACTAGGGTATCTTGCTACCAAACGCTATGAAGATTGTTTGTTGAATTCTGCCAAAATGTTCATGACGGATATCTACCAAAGCAGACCGACCCTAATTTAGAAGTGATAGACTAGAGGAAATGCAACTAGTCAATATCACCTTCCGCCAACTCTTGGGTTATCATACCGAATAGTGGGATTGATCGTCACATTAAAGCGCCTCCGTGGCGTTGATGAGATTCGAACTCACAACCCGCAGAGTGCGAGTCCAGCACAGTAACAACCAGGCCATGTCAAGCTCACTATGAATAAAAACATTTTATTGTTTTTACACTATTAGAAAAAATATTAAGCTGTCATTGGAAGATAAAACAAGGACTTATGAGTTCTTTTTTTCTGTATGAGTAATGTTCTATATTTTGTGTTCTCACTTGAAGATAAAACACTGACTTATAAGTTCTTTTTTTCTGTATAAGTAATGTTCTACATTTTGTGTTCTCACTTGAAGATAAAACAACGACTTATGAGTTCTTTTTTTCTGTATAAGTAATGTTCTATATTTTGTGTTCTCACTTGAAGATAAAACACTGACTTATAAGTTCTACTATTTTGTATAAGCAGTTGTAAAAATACAGGCAATGTTCTATATTTTGTGGTGTTTAGATTTTGAATTCTTCGTTTTTCCTTTGTTCAATTCAAAGGATTTGTTCTGTAAGTATATAATGTAAAAGTAATTTAATTGTAAGCATTGGTAATAATACTTAAATATTTAAAACTCCAGCAATATACATTATGTTTCTAATATACTCTTTTTTTTTATTAGATTTTTTTATACTTAATGAGGAAAATTTAAAACTCCAATCAACAAAAGAAGCGTTTTTGTAGTTTTAGCGAATTGAAGGATATATACTTTGCAATGAATTGAGGAAAGTTAGAAACTTTAAAAAATTGCACGAATGTTAGCCAAATATTTTTCAAAAATGTCCAATGACTGTATGTGCTTAAACACAGAAAATATAATGTAGCTGCTAAGGTTTGGTTTGTTTCGAATTTCGCGCAAAGTTTCTTGAGGGCTAGCCGTTTCTAATTTAGCATTGCTAGACTAGAGGAAAGGCAGTTAGTCAACAGCACCCACTGCCAACTCTAGGGCTCCTCTTTTAACAACGAATACTGTGATTAACCATAACATTAGAACGCCCCCACGGTTAAAAGGGCGAACATATTCGGTGATGAGGATTCGAATTCGCGACCTGCAGATAATTGTTATGTCTTCACGCGATTAAAACACAGTAATTCTAAAGTCGTGGACAAGAATTTGAACAAAAGAAATGGATCCTCTGTAATGGATAAATTTCCTCCAGTCAACTGAAATTGCAGTCATATAAAATAAACTTGTGTGAGGACCATCACTTTTATTGCATGCACGTTATTGTCGAATGGTGATGTGTGTGCATGTGATTCTGCTGTCTTGTTGGAGTAATATTTTTTATATTACGACATGTGGTGTGAAAAGTCTGGAAACATAAGGAATGTCCCAGATTTCCTTTAGTGGCCACCTTTAACCCGTTTACTTGCCTGAATATGATTTTGTGCCGAACGATCCCAGGTTAATATCTCTCCCATCTTCTCGCCTCCAGAATATTTTCGGTTGGGGATAACCAGAGGCAGTGCAGTGAAGACTGACTGATGACCTTTCGTTCACCATGACATCAGAACTTGTTCCATTCTCTTGGATCGTCGGTGGAACTAAAAACAAAATAATAAATAGAACGTTGAAAGAATAAGTAGGACATTATTTTTCGAAATATCGGGTATAGTTACACGTGCTATAAGATAATCCCAAACAATCAAAGTCGATGTCAATAATTACTGGAGAAAATCTTTGATTGCTTGCTATTTGTCTCAATTTCACTAAAAAAATCTATGACGTTCTTTATGGTTAGCGTTTTGTAGTTTTATTCATTGTAAAGTACGAAGAAGAAGATACAGTAATTAGAAAAAATAATTGTATTATTTTACTAAATGAAAAGGGAAGAGAAAGACATATTATCTAAGTAATTATATAGTTATTAATTAATTTACAACGGATACCTCAACGAGATTCAAACATTTATTACTACTTGCTACTACAGTTAAGTTATTAAGCTTCAAATATTGTGATTTCAAGTATTCACTCCGCTGTTTTGAAATCTTTAATATTTCTAAATCAATTAGAATATTAATGATGACATACTGATTTAAACATTGAAAGTTCATTTACTGATTTTTTAAGCATCGTGAATAAACAAGGAAATGAAAAGGGAGTTATGATGATTCATGGAATTAGAGCATATTCCAGGCAGTCAAGATATGTTTAAAAACCTAGAAAATCTAACGAGCTTTCATACTTTTTGTCTAACAATAAAACTTCGCCATCTTAAAATTTGTATTGTTTTTAAATCATAAGAAGAAAAAAGTATTTTGTCGATATTTTACTGAATCCCCAACAGTCTACAGGCTTACGACATTGAAAATAAGGTTTTGATATCCTTGATGGGCAGAGCATAGATAGCACATTGTACATAAGTTATGGTAACTGATGGACATTAGATCATTGAGTAAAAGAAAGTTCTGTACTTAAATTATGGTAACTTATGGACATTAGATCATTGTGCAGAAGAAAGTTCTGTACTTAAATTATGGTAACTTATGGACATTAGATCATTGTGCAGAAGAAAGTTCTGTACTTAAGTTATGGTAACTTATGGACATTAGATCATTGTGCAGAAGAAAGTTCTGTACTTTAGTTGTGGTAACTTACGTACGGAAGTAACGGAGTCAAAAGAAAAACAACATCTTTCTGTATGTAATATGATTGGAAAAATGTATTAAAATTTATTAATTTATTGCTTGTTTTTAAGAGTTAAATTATTTAATGACTAGTGATTCGATTATTTCGAAGTTCAAAGTTCACTGTGTCCTTATGGAAATAAATGTTAATTTTCTTTAAAGAAACAATGGCACAACATTTTAACTTTACATATTATTGCTTTGAAGTTGTTGTTTTTTGTATGCTATTATAAAAATATAACTCTGATATGTATCGTAGTTATAATCACATTAAAGCTTATAAGAAAGGAATAAAGTTAGCTTACACAAATTGTACACCAAATAAATGACACGTATAGAAACAAAAGAAAATTTCAAATAGATTTGTAACACCAACAGAATACTCAAGTTACGTATTACGTTAAAGAGTATGCTCCCCAAAAAATGACACCTTGTTAAAATGACAATCAGTTATGATAGAAAAGTTAATCTATATATATATATATATATATAAAGAGTTTCAACACGTTTTATACTAGACATAAGAAAGGCTAGTG